TTAAAATATAGAAGAGCTTACGTAATGTTACTTAGAGCCTTACAGTAATTTTCTCCCCTAGGTGAGTGTGCTTTTAGCCTTCGTTATGTGGTATAATACAGTAGTAGTACATGTCTCAGCTGCTGTGTTTTCATGACAGTTTCATAAGGCTGTCCTAATGAATTACCATTTTGTTTACAAATATTTGCCACCGTGACAGATACTTCTAGAACCTTTGAGGAGAAAGAGACACTCACCACCTATTCTTGGCTAAATCCCATAAGGAAACAAAGAACAAATTGTCAAGAAAACATAATGGATTTAATAGGAAATACATACTGTAACATGAGTAAAAGTGAGGCAAGAAAATAGCAGTGAACCTATCTAGGTGTCAAAGTTACAGCATATCCAAGTGCAACAGCTGGATGGAGTATGACACACAAGTGAAGAGCATGACAGAAAGAGTGGTCTGTATCCTTTGACATGTGAAGAAGTAGCAGTTGGTTTGTTCAATACTACATGTGTGAAAAAATTAACAGAAATGAAACAAAGAAAAACCCAACCGTCTTAAGAGTACCTTTACAAAGGTAATCAGCTCCTTGAATAAAATTCATTGTTTAGTGTTTAAATAAAAATTTAAGAACCCCAACTTGCATGATGATGTAATGGCAAAAGCAAAACTGTTCCTTCTAATAAGTCTTTATTGTAGAATAAGAGCAGTTTCAGCAAATGCTGTCCCAATTTTTTGGGGACAAATCATCCTACTGCCTTGATTTTCCACGTAAAATAGGAAGCACCAAATAACTCTAAGCCACTAGAACTTTTCTAAGTATTTTTAAATAGCTGTTTATAGCACGTACACTCTGACAACACTATGTTAAAAATTCAGGGTGGGGTGGGGGTAAATGGGAGGGGGAAGGAGGGAAAAGCTGACCTTAGGATCATTTTGACATGTCAGAGACTAAGCCCCCCAGGACTCTTGAGTTTCAGGATAGTCTTACATCCCTTGAAAGATTTGTTATCTGTGACACTTTATGGATAAAGCTTGGTAATGCTTGTTTGATTTTTCCAAGTCAAGCCTTTTTGATTCTAGCTGACCAAGACAGTGTTTGCACTCAACCTTCTGACACCTCCAAAATATCAGAAGGGATTTTTCAGAAGCAAGCGTTGGTGTCAGAAGGCTTCATCATTTTAGGGAAATATGTTTTGGCACTTGAATTCTTGTACGAGAAACAAAGATGTGGTTTCTAGCGTATTTCTTTTGACAAGCTGGAGCCATACGACTCTGAAAAGGACAGCTGACATGACTTTTTTTTATACTGGAACCTATATTTCTATCTTAGATTGGTAATTCACACCCACATCTTATTTCTGTAAGATCTTCTGTCACCTACCATTACTAGGGCTGTGATCTATTACTAGGAATGTGACCTGAACATACAATTTTAACAGTTTTCTTTAGAGAATTTTGTGCAGGTTTTTTAGAAGCTTGGTTGCAAGCACTGAATTCTCCTGCTTCAAGTAACAGACTCATCACATACACTCTCAAGTCACTGTAAAACAACTTCCTGCTAAAAAAGTTAAGCAAGTTTGTCCTTCTCTCTTGAACAGAAGAGCCTCTTTTTTTAGAGGTTTAAAGTGTTTAAGAGAGAGACATGAAGCGCTTTAGAAAACGAATAGGCAGTGTAGAAGTTTAAGTCAGTAAATTATTCAGATTCTCCTCATGTTTGAGATGATTTTTTTTCTACTTCTATGTAGCTATTGCTGCTTGTAAGTGAGGTTTGCTACAGTGACTAGCTACACAGTTCAGACAGCTTCTGTCCTGTAAATCATCCCAAGATAGTCTTTGCAGATTGCTGACATAGCACACTACAAATAGACTACACCATCCTTAATAAACACTAAAGACTGTTTCACAAGAAAGTCATTCAAACATCACTGATAAAGCTTCCTTTTCCAACTAATACTCAATATGTTATACTGGAAATTAACACTCATGTTAAGGAATAATTTTGGATTAACATCATAACAAAAATCTTACTGAGGCCAACTTTTAAACCATTCAACATATTCAGCCTCAATTATTTTTTTGTTAATTAAAATGAGACTTTAACCGTGAACGTAGACAGCTCCCAATGAATCCCACACCTCTCGATCATGTTAAAGGATGAGACTTCCAAATCAGTAAGTAGGCCTTTGTCTCCTCTCCTCTTACTCTCTTCCCAAGCATGTAAATAACCTCTCTTGAGCAGGCTGGTAGCATTAAATTGGTATTATGTACACCAACACATCAAAGACTCAAGTCTGCATAAAACGCCCCTCTAAACTAATAACTGTCTGATCCTGTAGCACTTAGAGGAAGGCTCTCACTGATGTCAGCAGGGATTTGAAGTGCAATCATTTGTTTTGTTTCAACATGGATCTAGTAGCATGAATGAAATCTTTACCTTCTTGACAACAGCAAAAGTTGTTAGAATTGTCTTAGAACTTTTCAAAGCACCTACTACAATTTTCAGTAGTTTGACCACTAGATGCTTCTGGAAGCTTATGTTTAAGAACAGATTTCACCTACTTAGGCATTTAGTATGCCAGTTTTCAGCATGTATATAAAATCTACTACAAAACTACCGACAGCACAGATCAAGAGCCTGGCAAGTCAGCTAAGAGACTGTTGTAATTTAGAGGGTTGGCTGAAGACACCCTCCAAAACCTGGGGAGCACGTTTAATTTGCTCCAAAGCTTAAGAACTAAACGTTTATCAAATGATATTTTTGTACAAATCTAACTTTTATGGGAAAAAAATTGGTGTTGTTTAGAAATAGGCATATTTTGTCAGTTAAAAAAATGCACTAGATCAATGATATGACATGCACCTGATTACATTTTTACATACATGATACTTTACCCTTCCAAACTTGCTTTGCAGCAATTAATTCCCTTTGGGAGTATCTGAAAGTCTAGTCTCTAGGATGAGCCCCATTCATTAAACAGAAAGGCATAGTGGAATAAAACTTCGGTCCTGAGCTTTTTCAAAAACTTCTTAACAGAATAAAAAGTTATTAAAAATTTAGCTGGAATGGTTGATAATCAGCACTCCAAACACTCAAAGGCTAATGTATCTCCAAATAGAGAAGCTATGTTAGGACAAAATATAATCGATTTCAGCAAGCCTAGTGCAAGACGAAAGCAGATGGCCTAACAAATTATTAATACAGAAGAAACCATTTTTCTCCAACAAAAATGAAACAATGAACATGTGCATTTCATCCAGGGAAGAACGCATTCTGGCTTTCAGCTAGGGCCAACTGATCAATAAACAGTTATCTTGGCTCAAAAGAACTTGCATCAACAGTCTGTCATTTTAAATAGGCATGTGTTAGAAAGCAGCCTCACTTCAGTGTTTGTAGTTTGGACAATCTGAAACACTGGCTATTTCTATGTTTTCATTAACAGCAGTAATTCAAGATCGGAACTGCAAACAGGATAAGAAGTATGCTGGCATTCCACTCAGATTGGTAAAAAAGGAGTCTCAGGGATTAAGACTCAGCTACATTTGAGAAGGGCCAGCTTGTTGATGCCTCTTAGTGTTTTGGGGTGGGGTTTGTTTGTTTTTAAAGACTAATTTTGGTGTATAGCAAATAAGTGAGGATAGATCAGAAAGCAGTTCATAAAGATTTGCTAAGATATATGGGTCCCTCCCCTGACTGGAGAGAACTACAATAATCTCAATACTAGCCTAGCTCTCAGTCTCACCCAGAGTCCAATATTTTCTTCTCAAGTCAATAAATCTTGGATAAATACTATTAAACCATTTTTGTTATCTCACTGAAAAACAGATTTAAACTCCATTTTTCCCCACATGCTAACAGGCAATAACAATAATTTAGAAAGTCTGAAATTCCTTTTTCTACTAATCTACATGAAAGATATTCCCAATATCTGAGACTTGCCTTCTCCTACTGGGATCTTTCCAAGTTCAAGAATTTCCAGATTTATTACTAACCAACTTTAAGAAAAGCAGTATTTTCTGTATCACAGTTAAGATACTAAAGCACCTGGTATCTTGGTATAGAATAGACTTCTGAAGCACTGTGAACACAAAGTATTTTAAAAACCTAGTTGAATTAGATAACCACACGATTTATTTTTTTAAAATTTGCTGGGAGTAAAAATTGAGGTATTTCAAAGAAGTTAGGGATTTCCATGACTGCCACTGTGAAAGTTCTACGTTTAAATTGCTAACCTGCTTTTTTTAATTAAAAAAAATATGCCCAAGAACAAGCTTACTCTGTTCTTTCTTTACTAATTATGTTTCCATCAAGCATTTTGTAGGAGTACTGAAGTTTTCTGTTCATAATTTATTTGCTTTGACTGACAGAAAAAAAAAATATCATACATCAGGGTGAACACCAAACACAGACCTGTCTCTACTATGAGATGCTTTGTTGAGGACCAATGTTTCAAAGGGACTTCAAACAGCCTTCATTTGATGAAGATATACTTCTTGGGCTCTCTATAAGCATGTAGCCTGTACAACTGTGGCAAAGAAGGCATAGTTGACAATGCAGGGTAAGTAAAAAGCGTGATAAAAATGTAGTCACCAAATTTCATTAAAACATACTGACCCATTCAAAATATCACTATAATAGTTCATTTGGTTTGCCCCAGAAGAGCTCTACAAGAATTTTCACTAATACAAACTAATCTGAAGTACAAGTCCTTTCATTTCTTACGAACTTTTCTGCATTTCCTTCAGAGAAAATACTTGAGATGATAGAAAACCAGATTACAAAGAATAAGCATCATCAGCATGAGCTCATTTTGATACTAAAGCTAAACAGCGTATTTTAGTATATACTTAAGTCTATTAAGCTCTTTTTCTTCAGAAGTATAAAGTTTCTCACTAGTGCTGGCAGGAAACAAAGTAAAAATAAATAAAATAGCACAAATGGGTATGGTCAACCTATAGTTTAAGTGAAAGCGTACTAAAACCAACACAGAATAAGCTAAACACTGATTTGCTAAAACCCTCACAGGTGAAAAAGCCCAGGAACCAAGAGGTAATGATCTACATTACCACATGCCTTAAGGTTACTTCCTATTTGTATTTTTGTGCCCAGAACAGAAAAGACTGCATGCACCAAAGATGAAAGCTTGTTCAGACAGACCTCATGCTGCACCAACAGCATTCTCTATTGGCTGTTTCAAATGTGATGGAAAGAGAAAGAATTTCAGTCTGCCTCTGGATGAACTCACAGTGACAATACCTAAAACGCAGGAAAAAAAAAAACAAACCTGATGGAGATTCCCCACGAGTTTATCCATAGGTGTGGAATGGAAGGAGTGTATAAGATTGCATTATTTTTTACTGTTTTTACATAATTTATAATACTTTAAACACTGGTCTCATAAATATAATATGAACACTTTACACATGCCAAGCAATTAAAAGCTTTCCCCAAAAACTTTTAGGTCTTATCAGAACCACTGGCAGCATCTGTTTACAGCATGTTTTTAGTCAGTAACCACTTAATTTAGTCAGAACTACAACTAGGTTTTCTTCAACCAACATCTTAATACTAAAAAACTTGTAGGAACAAAAAAAGATGCCTATAAGCATATCAGTTTGCCTTAAAGTGATCAAAGTCAGCATGAAAAAAAAGATTGTCTGTGATTTAAGATCTGTTGCTTGTGTCCCCACCCCTGGCGCATATCATCTTTAAATAAAAAGTGCAAATGGCATCTGGGGACTGGATGGACTGATTTGCCTGTTATCTGTCTTCAGTTGCTTATTCTGTAGCCATCTCACATCAACTCTCCCATCGTACTTTGGATTAGGTACAATTAAATTTTAAATAAGGCTCACTGAAGAAAAGGAAGAAATGACTTCTAACTTCCAGACTCCTCCCACCCCTAAGTCCCACAAAAGTGCTCATTTCCCTTTTTACAAAAAAAAACCCAACCCTAAAATCTTGATTACAAAACTATTAAACATTTCAGTTCTACCATCCACATAGTCACCTTCCTTTCAAGCAAGACAAAAAGCGATGATGGATTCCCTTTGAATGCAAGAGATACTACACTTTTTCTAAGTAAACAGGCTGACATTACGATTGCAGTCTTTTCTGCGAGTGTACAGATGTCAGATGAACTGGTCCATTTTTGTGGGACCTCGGGTGTATGAACATCAGCAGATAACGATCTAAGACTGATAATATAAACCCAATGTGAACTATTAACTTCCAAGACCACCTACTGTATAAACAAGTCTGATTTTCTAAGGGATCAGTCAACAGCAGCTGCGCTTTGTCACCGATGGCTGTCTTCTAAGTTTGAAGCCCTTACCACTAGACGGGGGGTTGGTGTCAGTTGACGGAATTCTGCGACCTACAAGGAGGTAGAAAAAAGTTTATAGCAAACATTATACTCAAAAGTAATTCTAAGCATTCAGTGTATGGTTTGTATACAAAAATGTGTCTTCAATTAGTCATATGTCATTGATGACAACATTCCTGCACAACAGAAGGATAGCGGTTAACAGTCTATACTATGTCTGTAAGAGGTAGGGTTCCACAAAAGAAGAGTAGAGGCAATTTTAAGCTAATTTTGCAGCGCTTACACTTCAGGCTAATCTAGACTTGAAGAGCTAAGCTATAAAAGCGCCCAGAGAATACACTCTGCAGGATCCAATACCACCTGGAAAATAGTCATTGAAAACTACCATCTTGACCTGCATTTCCACAGTAGATCACCTGCGTCAGGCTTAGCACAGAAGTGCTTGTAAAGATAGCTGCTTTAGTCATCTAATCAGTCTTTAAAATTGACTATTCCTGGTTGAGTATTCTTTTCTGAGGAGGATTTATGATTTTTTTTTCCCCCCATAGTTTATGCAAGATCAATCTTAGAGAGCAACTATTAAGTCAGTAAATCGGGAAGCTAATCTACAGCACATACTTTTTACATCAGCTTCAATATATTCAACTGCTTATAAGGACCCTATTTTTTTTTAAAGTCTAATGTTTCCATAGTTATCCAAAGCTGAACTGCAGTGCACACACACACACAAATGGATTGCTGTTTGTCCTCTTTCCACAAAGAGGCTGACATACCTGCACATTGGTGCTGCTGCCTGAAACATATCCTGCAAATAATATTGCATGGAATTCACTTTGGAATACTGTCCGCTTTTCATTCACACAAAAAAAATTGTCATTGTCGTCCCCACCATGAATGAGACAGAAAAGATTTGCAATTTAATTAAAAACCCAAGGTATCACAAAAATACTTGCGGAAAATCTATACACAATAGTTGCTATTTCCTAGGCAGTAATCTGGCATTTATAAATTCTTCCATCTTTGAAAATGCACTGTTTTAGACTAAGTACAAACACTAAGAGTGAGAATTTAATTCCAAACTTTATACAGCTGAGAAAAGGATCTTCCTCATACCATTTCCTTTCCCTTCCATAACCTTGGAAGTACTAATTGAAACATTCAATAACAGATACAGTAAGATGACACTGACTTCTGACATGAGTGCCCTGCTTGCTATTTATCCAGCAGCATCACAGTAGGATTAAAAGCTCTAGAAGGACTATTTAGAGGTCATTAGATGACCAAAAATTTATACAGCTCATTTTGCAGTTTGTATTCATGTCTGACTGTAACAAATTTAAGTCAGTACACTCTCACCTAAATAGCACAAAAACTAATACAGTAATCAAATTTCTACTTGAACTTCTTTCAGAAAAAAGCACAGTAACAGTTTAAATACTTACTAATTTCTATAAAGAGTTCATTAATGTTTATTGCATTTTTCGCACTTGTCTCTACAAATATTGCATGAATGGAATCTGCATAGTCTTTAGCATCTTTTTCCATGACTTCTCTGGAAAAACAAAGCAAAGAAAAAACTGTGAATGCAAAAAACCCCATCGTTATTCAAAATCTTAAGGGATAGATTAAGCTTTTGAGTATCTCATTAAATGAGTATTTTATATTTTACCTGTTTGGCATCACAGTGCTCCCTCATCCTGAAGCTGATGCTCATTCTTTACTCTATGTTGCCTCCCTGCCTTGAGGTATGAGCATCACTGAAGCACAATCATAAACTAAACAAGGCCTTAATCCATCTGACAACATTACAGTGGAGTTTGTTTCTTGAGTGCTCTAAGTGTAGGTCTGCAATCAATATTAGGGGGTGCTTTATTCTTCACACACAGAACAGTTTTAGATGTACTCAAAAGATCCTAAAGAATTAGTTCCACTAATCCACGGGACTTCCTACAGCTGTTTACAAAACCAAGTATCTCACAACACTGCACAAATCATTAGTGTAGCATTTACTCTACACAAAGCATGAAGACATAGCCATAAACAGAAACCTATTTAGACCGAGCACACAACAACAGAGCCAAGAAGCGAAAAAGTTATTCTGCACTGCTAAGTAGGCAAGTTGATAATGAATTATGTTTCCTTAAACAACATGAAAAAAACCAAACCCCCATAGGTGGAGAGAGGACTGGACTATACATTGTATCACTTTACATACAATTTCTAGAAAACATAAGCTACTTTCAGTAACAAGGGACTTAAGATATCAAAGGCACAGACTTTGGATCAGTGACTCAAACATTGCCTCTGACTAAAGTACAAGAAACCTTGCTCATTAGCTTGAAGAGCAATGTTTACATAATTTGTGATGCCACCTAAGTACCAAGAAATAAGCATGAGACATAATACTGCATGCCTTATATTTGTCTTCTAAGTAATTTTATGCCATATTTCCTTCACGACACATGCCACTTCCAACAAAAGTTATTAAAGCTCACTAGATAACTGCTATATATTAACAATTTATAAAACCATACTAAGAACCAACTTCGCAGTGGTTCTTTAAACACATAACCATCTGTCTCCTTCGAGACACCAGCTGTGGTACCTTTTCCAATGAAATCAAGAAGTTTGCACACACTTTCTTTCTGAATTTTGGCTTATTTAACCAGGACATCAATAAAGAAGGGCTTCTTTTGTTTTTAGTACATGCCTTCTTGAAAGTTTGGCTGTTCATAAAGTTTCTCAAGAACTGGGCCTGCTCCCTGCAACTATTTCAGCCACAGCCAATTCCACCCCGATATTTAAGCAGGGAAGGAAGGCACCTGAACAAGCAAGTCAGAAAAACCTACACAATGCTTTCCAACAGGCTTCATGTTTTTCCTAACAAAATGAGGTGCTACAGACTGACAGGGGTACTTCTTATAAAGTGAGGTAAACAGCTTGTATTACACTGTAGTTTCACAGGCAGTTTAGGCTTGTGTAACTTGGCACTGCCACCAGAGAAGGCAATCCTGTCTCCCTGTAAACCGCTCATTCCTAACACTGCTATCCCACCTCTGTCATGCCAGCAAGCGTTCATGGTGTGAGCAAGATAAATACACTTGGATCAGTTTTCCTTTTTTTAAATGGTTAGTTTTAATCTGGATCCATTTTACAGTCTGATTTACTGCCCAATCACACACGTACTCACACCAACACAGGGGAGGAAGTGGGCAAGACTGTCCAAGGGCAGACTAACCAGATCTTCTGACAGTAGAAACAGCTCAGACCCCTTGTGAAACTATGATGCTAGTGCAAAACAGCTTAAATTGCTCTATACCTTTCACCTGCTCTGAAATCTTAAAATATTTAGCACTATGAGCTTAAGTGAAAGCCTCCGAACTGTCAATGGTTATTTACCTTACATCATTAAGATCACACTTATTTCCTGCAATAGCTACAACAATGTTTGGAGGTCCATGCTGTCGAAGCTCTTTAACCCAGTTCTTTAATGTTGAGAAAGTTTCCTGATGTGGAAAGAAAAAAAACAAAAAAACAAAAAACAAAAAACAGAAGAATTAAGAGATTATACTGGCCAATGACACAAAAAAAACGCAGAAATTGTAATGCTGGGTCAAGATCAAATTTCTTACCTCTTTTGTGATGTCATACACTATAATGGCTGCTGCTGACCCTCTGTAATACATTGGGGCTAAAGCACGAAACTGAAAGAAAGACACCATACATTATGACTCCGATCTTCCGCTGACCTCCATGATTTCCTTCTTATTATTATTGAAAAAAGTGAAAACTAGCTTTGAAGTTCACATTAGTGGAAAATTTTTCTTTACAATTACAGAGAGGCTGTGCAGTAGAGTACATAAACTTCCATGAAAGTATGGTTTTACAAAGGCCAACCAATAAATAGTCTAGGGACCAGCAGCACACCTACGGCAAAAAGCAGGAAGCCAAACTTGACCTTATTTTGACTAGATTAGAATCTCTAATTTCAAAGACTGTAGATTATACACAGACTCAAACCTGCAGGATATATGCTCAACTTTAAACACCGAGCAAGGGGAAAATAGTCAAAATTGAACTCACTTCTTCCTCTTTAAGACATTCATGCTTTTGGACAAAAAGTAATTTCAAGATAACTAGCATGTATTACTGCTGATCTGAAATGTTCAGAAGTTGGTGTCAACCTCTAGCCCCGTGGATCAGTCATTGCACTCTTAAATGCTAGAAATGTTGTGTAATCTAACTTATGGCTTTAGGGATTTCACTGAAGTTTTTCCTCAAAACTCAAAAGTTAGAGGCATGTTTAAAACTGAAAACTGCAAAAGCCCACAACTATGTGACCTGTTGCAAACAGAGCTTTAAGGAACACACTAGATAGTAAAAGGCTACAGTAATTTTATTGTAATTTTCAGAATTAAAACTACAGCAGGCATATTTGGTTGGCAGTGCATTTGCAGGGTATAAACCAGGCCTGTACCTTTGCACTGGCACAGCGTTATGAATCCAGGACTGAAAAAAAGTGATAGAGCACAGGATTAAGTTGCATCAAAAATATCAATCGAGCATAAAAACACTGTGATACTCTGATTTAAAAAGAACCAGACAGCTAATCTAGCAACTAAAACTCTCAGTCAAAGTGCGCAGTAAACTGCATGTACTGCTTTGATGTAAGCATGGGATTTAGAGCTTTTGTGCATCTTATTACTCAGGGTAAAAATCACGAATAGAACACAGTTTTTCATAAAGGCTTATTTGGTTCCAATAAAATGTCAATTTCCTTTTGGTTAGTACAGTTCAACTGAGAGCAATATTATAAATCATAAAAATCTTGCTATAAAGCAGAATTCCAGACCATTTACATTTGGCTCTCAAATTCTGTTTTGAAAATAGGATTTTGAACACAAAGTTCAGAATATAAAAATATTTAATAGTGGGAAAGGGAAACATGGGCAGGCATTCAGTTCATGTTGGGACATAATCCCTCTCTTCCTCCTAAGTACTAAAATGTAAAGGGAAACATATTTGGTAAACCACCACTTGGACTGGTTGCAACCTGGCTTTTTGATTATTTGACTATTTACATTGGGAATAAACCAACTTTCACTTGCTGATTTTGTATTACTCTCATTTCCTGCCTGCTAACACTTAGATACTTTTTTCCACCTAAGAGCAGTCAGCAGATAAAATACATTAACAAAACAGATGTTACCAGAACACTGAATTTTCCTTTTGCTATTTTTCCAAAGACTTCAGCTTGCCCTCCAGCCTCCGATTTGTGTTTTGACAGAATTATTAAGAATACATAATGTAATTATCCAGAGAAACTGTCACAATTGTTAGGTAAGAAGGCAAAAATCCTAATCGCTATAAAGTAATCTCCTATCAACTTCACTCAGTGTAAAAGAAATAAGAGAAGAAATAAGGCATGTGCATGTAGAGAAATGAGCTATGTAAAGTGAATTAGTGCACATTTCCACCATTGGAGTGAAGCTAGCCAGCCACTCTCTGAAGCCATTTAGAACAAGGGGGTGCCCAGTGTAGTGTAGAACTATTCGCTACCGGGCTTTTGAAGTGGAAAATAGCAAACGCTCCTCAAGAAGCCAGGACTACAAATTTTGTGCATTACACATCATAGCTCAGCAGACACATTTTAGTTCCAAGAATGGTGTGGACATTTTTGGTATTCCAGATCACCAAGGATGGGATCCCTTCGATAATTCATTGCCAGATGTGTTGCATGACCAGAAAACTGTGCTATAGATTTCAGGGCAAGGCCAGTATACAGACCATTTATGACTAGGAGTAAGTGATAGCACTGTTCTGTTTTGGAGAAAGAATCATCTATGAAGATACTGGCATCATTCCAAAGTAAATATCCTTGCTCCCATTTCACTTGTTTCCTTGGATATATTGGGGCCTTACAGTGACTTCTCTCAGGTGTGGAACATAAGCATCACAGATACCATGGCTCTTGGGTCAGAGCCCAGGTAAGTCACCTTTCCTTTTTGGATTTCAATAAAGATATCATGCAACTTGTATGGAAGAAAATTAAAGAGATGTTACCCAAAGTCTGAAAACAGAAAGACAAGGAACATGCTAGTCATGTACAGAGACGCTTCCTCAGATTGTAGCGTGCTGAATCCAAATTAGGGCGTTCTCCCATTGCTTGTAAGCACAGTTAAAGGGATGGAATGCTAACATGGAATGGATGTTTCCTGCCAAGTTGTGGCACGCATATTTATAAAGCTTTCTATTTAAGAGTATCAGGCTCTCAAAATTCATACTCTACCTCTCAGAACACTCACATTCCAGCATGGGCTAGGATGTTCGCTTAAGACAGATTACAGCAAATGCTGACTGACTGCTAGTAATGGAAGGACTCAGATATTTCTGATAACATGGGTACTATTGGACATATCCCTGGGACACATCCCTGACAACACAAGTTTGTTTTACATGGTGCTGCTGGAAGGAAATAAATAGTTATTCAAAATCTAGAGCACTGAAATGCAATATAAATATACTTACTTTCTAGCCATCAAGGCTGTTATCAAGCTAAAAAGCTAGCAAGTCAGTTCCACCAGAACTACAAAAGGTCAAGTGACTCTTCACAGGGATGACTGACCCTTTACAAGGCTGGGTTTTTTTTGGTTTTGCTGGTGGGGGTGGGGTTTTTCTGTTTTGGGGTTTTTTGCTTGGGCTCTCTGTTTCTTGAGCCAATCCTGAAAAATAGTACAGCTGCATTTGCCAGTTATTGTCCTGAAGCAATAACCCAACCTGATCAAACTGACTCTTACTGGAGACAGCTCTGGCGTTACAGTTAGTTCACACCCTAAATAAACTCATCACGAGTAACTGACAGTTGCCAGTAGTTAACAGTCAAGAAACTGCAAGAATAAACACTGTTAATACAGCTACTATAATTTCTAGCACTGTTACTAGTAACCCATAAACAAGCAAGTTAACTAGCAGAGTTTTCCTTTTAAATTTTAAGTAAAATCATGCAAATTAATTGTCATTTCATTTGACTAGTCATTTTCTTGAAAGCTTTTGTTGCCTCCCCTCAGAACTATGCATGCTTCAGAGATCAAAACCCCAAACTACCAAATTAAAATTTAAATTTCAAAACAGATTTCTTGACATAGCTTCTAACACTATCACATTTGAGAAGCAAAACTTTACAAAATAATGAAAGATCAGTTCTCACACATAACACCGCTTAAACGCTTAAGCCCACATCCTACTCACAGGAATAACCTTAACACTGAAGCTAACAGAATGAGTTAGCAGTTGTGTATTTTTCCAGAATCAGGGCCTTACTTGTACTATGGAACATGATCATTCATTTCACTTAGATTCTCATGTTGCCAGTTGCACTGTCTGCATATACTGCAGCTGAATGTTTAAAACTCAACTGTAGAAATGGTATTACAGACAGCTGCTGCCTTCCCCCCGCCAGAACTATCACCACAGATATTGGTTCTACTTACCCGCTCCTGTCCAGCTGTATCCCAAATTAGGAATTTATGCAGCTCATTTTGATACTGTACAGTCTTGGTCATAAATGAGGCTCTGGAAAAAAATTACAGCTTATGCTTTTCAGAATATAAATATGTTCTTAGAGCATTACCACTATGAACTTTTTAAAAGGTTTACATCCTAATAGAAGTGCTTTCCTCACACACACAAAACTGATGAAGATTTTCATACATAAAGGCTGAAATGAATGAGGCAAAGGGCCTCAGAGGATGAAATTCAACTAACAAAACAGAAGGAACACGAACACAAATTATAACCCTTTATTGTTCATAAGCTTTTGATAAAAATAAAGAATGTTTGGCTAAAGACATCAAGAAGATCTGCCTTTTTAACAACATTCTTCCTGAGTGGAGGAATCATCACAGCAAAGCAGTTAAGTGTGTACCGGAAACTTCCAGAGGGCAAGAGATCAAGACCTTTCACTTCACATCAGCTTTTTCAATCTCTGTAATAACATTCAGATAAATGCTGGTAAGTCCATACTTGGGAATAAAATATGGGAGATTCATGTCACTATTGGTAGGTGTTAAGAGGACAGAGAAATCAATGAGTAACTTGCTTCTTGTCTGCACTCTGAACAGCTCCCAAATTCTGTCTGTCATTATATATTTCAGTCTGCAGATGCTCTTGCACATCCAGAAGACAAACAAAAAAACCTCTTCCTATGCTCCAGCTGCTCCCCCTCAACTTCTACATGTTTTATAGTAAAATATTGCAAAATACTGTAAAGTACTTCTGTGCTTTACATGAATCAGTGTATTTCCCACAAGAACAGTAATTCAGAGACCTAATCTTTTACAAGAGGGAGTTCTTTGTTATATCTATTACCCATAGGCACATTTTTACTAGAAAAGCCACACACTGAATTCAAATCCTTGTAGAATAGGAACTATAGATGCCATAATTATTTTAAGCATATGAGATTCTACATTATGATCTTGAACACCTTTTGTAGGCTTAATTCCCGTCACTTGAAAATACTGCAGACTTCCAAACTTGTTCTATTGTCAGCTTTCAACAGGATGGAGGATAGGATCCTGGAGGCGGCCTGTACTGGAGCTTCTTACAATACACTAAACTTGCTGCAGATTCCAAGTCAGAGAACAAGAGTCTTTCAGCATGATCAGCAATATTAAATACCAGTCTCCAAGACTCTGAACTTCAGTCTACCTTGAATCTTAAGTACCACCAGGGCATAAATTTTAATGACGTCCATGACACTTTTGTAGTTAATACAATTGGAGTCTTTGGACATGTTTCAATGTTATAGGAGAACAAAACAGCTATCAACATTTAAAATAAAGGGAGCAATTACACAATACTTTCCACTGTTAAGAGGTAACTCCCTCCCCATTCCTTAAGCTCAGGTGGTTTGCCAAATAGTATGTCAATCTCCAAAGCCGATTACTCTTTTAAGCCAAATATAAGGTTGCAGCATCCCTAAAAAGAAAGAGTCTAACTGCAGTGCACTTCAACACAGTTAACTAGACGATGTATTTTAGCAATGAGTAATGGAAAATAAAGTGGTAGGAGTATCTGCTGTAAAGCACAGCAAAGACTTCCACATCCTTAAGACTGCTGCAAATTAAGCATCAATTCTGAATTCTCCAGCCAATATGGAACCAATTTGCTAAATCATAGATTCTCACTGAAAATTTATCTTACTTGGCTGTCTAAACCAAAGCATTCCTGTACAGTCAATCTGAACTGAACAGCTGTGTTGCTCTAATTCACATCACAACTAAACATACCAAATGGTAGCTGACAATAGAGGTTAAATGCTACTTGAAATTCTTTGACAAGTAGAAGCTTTCATTGTGACAGATGTCAATTAAAAAAAGAAAGGAAAAAAAAAACAAAAAACAAACAAACCACCACAAACCAAAAGAGAACAAACAGCTCAAAGACAAACCACTTTTGGGTCAAGAAAAGCCTCCAAACTAGAGCAGTCCTCAATGACTTCTAGTAAGAAAACAGGTATTATCACTACGAAATTTCCTAGCTGCTTCTCCCAGCCAAGTAAGCACTCTAACTACGTGAACAAGATGCACCTGAAAGTAGTTTTATGCTTATTCAAAATTTCTTTTTGGTGCTATAATGAAAGACTAGATGTTCTGCGGTACCTAGAGATCTATGCTGGTCAGGCAAAGCAGAATATGTCCTCAGCATCCTGAGGGGACAGAAGTTGCAGAATTCTGACAGGGTTTCTACAGCTGCCCGTATTTGAACCTGAATGATGAACATTCATGACAACAAAGTATGATTGCTCAAACAATTCTAAGAGGAATGGAAACAGGACAGGAAATGAGATTGTATCTCACGAACACAAAAACCCAGGAGTAAACGTAGAAACGTTCTCAGCTTTAGTTTTGTAAGATGCTCAAAACTCCTCTCTAATCCTTACTTTGTTCTTTCCACCTCCTCAATTAGGAAATAAAAACAAGGTCTAGAAAAAGTTTCAAAATGAATTTGCTTATGTCCCGGTTTCAGCTAGGATAGAGTTAATTTTCGTCTTGGTAGCCGGTATGGGGCTGTGTTTTGGGTTTAGGATGAGAACAATGTCGATGATACCCTGATGCTTTGGTTCTTGCTAAGTAGTGCTTAGTGTTGCTAAATAGGTGCTAAGTGGCACTCACACTGGTCAAGGATTTTTCAGCTTCCCCTGCTCTGCCGGGTGCACAAGAAGCTGGGAGGGGGCACAGCCAGGGGGGCTGACCCAAACTGGCCCAAGGGCTATTCCATACCATGTGACGTCATGCTCAACATATAAGCTGGGGGAAGAAGGAAGGAAGGAGGGGATGTTCGGAGAGATGGCATTTTGTCTCCCCAAGTAACCGTTACACGTGATGGAGCCCTGCTGTCCTGGGGATGGCTGAACACCTGCCTGC